CAATTGCTGTTTTCAAATGCACTAGTGCCATCCCACTGAAGTAATACCTGATTTTTAGCTCCTAGCATTCTTCATTTCGGTACTAAACCTACTGTCCTTGCCCTCACCCCTCTACTTCCCCCTCCCCAGCCTTTCACCCTTACTAGGGCAAAACGTACCTAATTAAAATGTTGCTGTGGCCTTTACATGCACTAATGTAATTATCTGCACAACACTCACTCTGAGGTATGAAAGTATGGTTAATCCCATTTTATGGATATGGACACTGAGGCACAAAGAGATTAGGTGACCTGCTTGAAGTCCAAAAGGAAAGTGGTGGTGGATGGGGGTACTACCAAGGCTGCCAAGTCCTTGCTCCTTGCCTTAACCACAAGATCATCCTTTCTTTGCAGTGGATTTTGCTTCAAATAAGCTATTGTCTTTTCCTGCCTGTGTCATCCCTGCCTGGGGATGCATTAGCATATTAGTTTTCTCCATTCAACAATGCATTTCATATGTGGATTTTGCAGGGAATCATCCTAGCAGGACTAGAAGTAGGGATGTTTCCCAGGCCAATGCTCCAGCAATAAAGATAAAGAACAAGTGACTTTAATTTCCTCCAACTGAATTTTAAGGCATTCTTCCTTCTTTTTAATTTGTTCCAGCCGTACATACTGTACTGGACACATGCCTGGACGAAGCACTGGTCACCGCTTCGTAGCTGACATCTTTGTGCCTGGATGAGCCAAGATGTTCACACAAACATACACAAGAGAGGAGACAGCAGAAGAACCACTAAAAATAACTTGGCTAATGGCACAGGCATCGTAGCTGGCTCAGGGATGTTACAGTCACTCCAAAGACATTTCCTGGGGATGAGCAATTGCACCCAAAAACACGCAGGAGCGAGTCTTCCGACATATGTCTTGCTTTGGGCATGCAGCGAGCAAAACATGAGATGCCATCTCTTTGAAACAGTGCAATCAGCGGTACTTGTGAACAGTGGAGAACTCCCCCAACAGGACAGGACAGAATGGGATGGGAGCAGGAGGGGTTATACCATTGGCGGCACCACTATGGTTTTGGCTCTGGGAACGTTGTCACTGCTTATTGGTGTTCCCAGAAGAGTCACTCTTGGAAAAGGTGGGACATACCCCCATCCTAATCAGGAAAAGGCAGGCAAGCTCTTCTGGGCTCAGCTGGTACTAAATAAGCACAGCTGCCAAACCCGGTCTGCTTGGGCGAAGTAAACTTAAAAGGAAGAGTTTGTCACAGGACGGGGAGGCAACCAGGAGGAGGGCTGCTGTGTCCCAGAGTTTGCTGACTCTTGCAACAGGGCCGCTGGGCAGAAAACAGCTTGCAAAGCTCTGCTAGCCACAAGAATCCACCAGGCCAGGTATGAGCCCATTACAGCAGGGAGGGGTTGGAGATAAGTTCTCACCCAGGGTCTAGCCGTACTCCACCTTCATAAACAAACTAGATCGCTGTAGACTCTTTTGAAACACTCAGAGACCAAGTGCCCCCATAACTGGAAGGACTTTGGAGAGGTTGCCAAAATAGGTGATCTACTGGTAAAGGATAGAAGGTAACTGGGCTTATTGACCCTCCGCTCGCTCTGGCTCATTAGTAGTAGCGACTAGTCATCTGGGTGCCTCAGCCTTTGGGTGCCCAGCCTGGGACACCTTCAAGGGGCCTGAATTTTCGGAGGGGGAGATGCTCAGCAGTTTCGGAGAACCAGCCTCTTGGCTGTGCCCCAAGTTGGAGAGCCAGGATCTCACCAGTCCCCTTGGAGAATCCCGGCCATCACTTCCTGCTGCTCTTGCTTTTGCTCAGGCTGGGGCTCTGGGGCCCCATCACAAGGTTTCTACCATCAGTTGTGGGGGGAGAGGGAGTAACTCTCAGTGAAATCAGTAGGGACCTGAGGGAAAAACTAGGCCCAAGGGTTGGTGTGAGAGGCAAAAGGAGAGTGAGAGACCCAAGGCCTGGCCCATGCCTACCAAATAGGAGCTTAGCCCATGCCGTCAGTCTGCTGGGATAAATGCTGCACTTGCAGCCAGCTCTGGACTTCCCCTCTCTCGCCACATCCTCCACGGTAGCAACAGTGGTTTAATTAGCCAGCCTCCTCTGATGCTGCACTTTGGGCATTTCTAGTTCAGCAAACCACATGTCGTTAAACATTAATAGCATTTTGCAACCTCTGGCAGGCAGAGACGAGGCTGGGGGTTCTCCTGGGGGCCTTCAACCAGAATGTAGGGCTCTGTCTTCTCTTCTCATGCCTTCATTCTCTCTCTCCCTCACACACCCCGTATCTCTCTGCCCTCGTCTACACGTCAGAGTTTTGCAGGCCTATCTACGTGGGTCAGGGGCGTGAAGAGGTGCGATGTCAGACTGACAGAGCTGTACCGCCAGAAGCCCCTAGTGTGGAGACAGTTCTACCAGCCACGCTTGGCTTTTACCAGTATTGCTTATTTCACACAGGGGTGGGGACGGAACGAACTATACCAGCCAAAGCTTTGCGGGTAAAGCTGTGTCTACACTAGGAGCATTTGCCTGTACAGTATACTGGTCTAGCTATACCAGCAAAGCACTCCTGGGGTAGACTGGGCATACATCCCTCTCTCTCTCTCACACACACCCCCTTCTCTGACACAATTTCGGTTTGGTACAGTCCTCCTGCTGTTGGGTTTCTATATCACTGGTCGACTTTGCTCTCAGACGCTAACGCACCCAGAAAGCCTGGGTGTATTTTTACCTCTTCCCCTGTGTCATTTCCCATTAGGAAACGTGCTTTCCCTACCTGCTTCCCAGATAACGAAATGGACTCGCTGAGGCTTTGCCTCCGATCGCCCACAGTTAGCTTGTGTTCCAAAAGCACGCGTCATCCCTCATGCACAGTGACAGGGGCAATGGAGAATAAATCTGGGTCACTCCAGCACCGACACCCGAAGCCTCCTTTGGTCTGAAGCGCTCTTGTCTCTGAATGAGTCTCATACTGTACGGCTGGCTCAGGGCCACAGAGTGAGAACCACCTTTCTCCTCTGCAAGGCTCAGAAATAGAGTGTCTGGGCGTCCACCGGACAGGTTCTCCCACCCCAGGTGCTCTGGTTTCGAGACACACTGAAGTCCAGAATCAGCCTTTATCTGGCCACTTTCTTCCTTTAATCTTACTGTGGCATTCGTATACACCAGTTTGTCCTTAACCCCGAAGCTGACTATGTTCCCAGTGGATTGCTCACTCCAACGGGTCCCTGGGTTCCAATCCACCTGAGGCTCACGCGCCCTGGAATATTGCTTTGGGTTCTGGACGTATCAAGCCAATGCAAAACTCCAAAGCAGGAGCAGCAAGGTAACCTTCAAGCCACTCCTGCTGGTAGGGCAGAGATCAATGCTGATGGGCTTCCAAGAGGATCCTGGCCTCCTCCCACCCTGGAATACATGCAGGCTATGCAAGTGAGGCATTCACGGTGAACGTGCTGAGGTTTGGACCCCAGTCTAGTCCTACCTTGTCCTCACATACAGTTCCCACCATAATCACCAAAGAAGAATGAATCATCCACAGTGTGGGTTTGCTTTTTTCATTTGAGGAATGAGCATTCTAACTCCTCTCCCTCTGACACCAGTTGCACGTCCCTGACACTTTGGCTGCCGGGAGTCCCCAGTGCAAGCAAAGATGCCCTGTCCTCTCCCCTCCCCAATCTGCTGCTGACTGCAAAGTCTATGGCTTTCTTTCCAGTTGGCCCAGACACCAGAAGGTCATAGCTGCCTTGAACTGTCCTCTGATTGTGTATCTCTCGCTGCCTAACGTTTAGATGCAGAGAAGATTCCTTTGGTGCTGATGGGCAACATGCAGCAAATTCTTCAGAGAGCGCATACTTCTTTGGAGCCTTACCCTTCCAACAGAAGAGAATGGGGATAGCAACCTTGCAGCACGTGGTACCCATAAGGGTGCTGAAAGTCCCCTCTTCACCTTGCTGGGCAGAGCATTACCCCACATTCCCATCCAGTGTCCTGCATGTTTGGTTAAAGACAGTGGGCAAATCCCACCCTCAGCTACACTCATGCAGCCCCATTAACCAATACCACTCATGCACCCTATGGATCAATGCACCCACTGCACCACCGTGGATCTATGCACTCATGCAACCGCACTGACCAATGCATCCAGTGACTGACCAATGGACCCACGTAATCTGGTGCAACCTCCCTGATCAATGCACACGTGCAAACTGGTGCAAACCCACTGATCAATGCACCCATGCAGACCAGTACAAACCCATTGATCAATGCACCCATGCAGACCAGTACAAACCCACTGATCAATGCACCCATGCAGACCAGTACAAACCCATTGATCAATGCACCCATGCAGACCAGTACAAACCCATTGATCAATGCACCCATGCAGACCAGTACAAACCCACTGATCAATGCACCCATCAACTGCAAACTGGTGCAAACCCACTGATCAATGCACCCATGCAGACCAGTACAAACCCACTGATCAATGCACCCATGCAGACCAGTACAAACCCATTGATCAATGCACCCATGCAGACCAGTACAAACCCATTGATTAATGCACCCATGCAGACCAGTACAAACCCACTGATCAATGCACACGTGCAAACTGGTGCAAACCCACTGATCAATGCACCCATGCAGACCAGTACAAACCCACTGATCAATGCACCCATGCAGACCAGTACAAACCCACTGATCAATGCACCAGAGCAACTGAGACAGAACTTGACTCATTAAAGAGAGAAGAACCTTGTACAACTGGCAGCAACATTCCCCCCCCCCCCCCCGCCCACCCCTTCACTCTTGTAATTGATGCCAAGTGTTCAGGGAAAGGGACTCGTAAGAGGATTCCTTCATAGACCCAGCCTTTGTCCAGTATCACACGACTGCTGCCTGATCCAGAACCAACGGATCATTAAGTAGCATCTAGAGAGGGAGGCAAGGCTATTAAGAGCTGGCCGCCAGCACACGAACAAAACAAGAGGGAGGTGGCACCTTACCATGTGATAGTTAATCATTTCCTGCAGGCTGTCTCCAAATTTGTCCAGGCACTCCTGTGAAAGGAGAAGAGGAAAGGCAGTGAATGGGGGCAGCTGCCCTTCCTCCAGCGCTGGCAAGAGCGGGAGGGACAGTCTTTAAGCCACTGAGGCACTCGCTCTGTCAGTTGGCAACTGTGCATTGACATAAATGGCTGGCACTGAAGCCAGAGGCTGCCCGTCCTTTCTGGTTTAGTACTGAAGCCAGCACCGCCGGGCTGTTTCTTCTGCACGATGGTTATCCACGTTTCCCAAATAACCGATGCTCACTGACCTAGATTCCAAGGATCCTGTTTGCATTCTGGCTTCTTAAAACCATAGTGCCTCTTGCAAACAAGGATCCTATTCTTCAGCCTTTTCAACATTGCATTATCTGGGGATTCTTTCAGACACCAAGGTGAATTCTGCCTCTTAGTGAGACTTAAATGATGAATCAGCCTCGGGCTGGTCCTCTCTACAAGGACACATTTCACCCAAAGGGATCAATATTCTGCACATCTGTAGCACAGCTTCCATGTAAATATTCACCAATGCTCTGCACAGACTCTCAGGGATCCCTGGGAGATTCCTGTTAAAATTCTGACCCTAGCTGGAATGAGAGTTGGCATGATTTCCTTGCCTTCAATGGAGTTCACTGGATATCACTGACCCTCCCTGCCACAGCTGATAATAGCAGTACATGTCTGCAAAGATCTCAGTGTGCTTTGTAGATATTATGCCTCCCAACCATCTGCTCTCCACCCCTCCTTTAGTGAGACAGGTAAACTGAACCCACTTTTCAGGAGGGTAAACTGAGTCACACAGCGATCATGTGTCTTTCTTGTCCAGTGGGGCAGTGGCAAAACTGGGCAAGGAACCCAAAGTCCTGATTCATACATATATAAGTAAAAGATACTCGCACAAAGGACCTCTGATAGGAAGTCAAAGGAAGCACCACATAGAAACCCAGTGCATCACTGCATATTGCAAAGCACCTACCTAGCATCACAGACGTCTGCCTATTCCTGGGAAACATTTTTATTTGCTCAGTTTAGAGAGAATCCCCAGAAATCCTCCTCCTATATATAATGCCCCAATCTCTTGTTGAAAAGTTTAACCCTTTCTGATGCTCAACCCCCTCCTCCCCCAGGCAACTCACCGAAATCATTTCGTCCTTCTTGCATTGCTGCGACAGGTCTCGGACCCCGCTGACGAAGTGCTTGTTGGTGGTGATGTAAGCTTTCCCAGCCTCAATCATCCCACTACATAGCTTCACCAGCTGCAGAGAGAGGAAGAGACGTGAGTGGGGAATGTCCTATAGGGCTGGCCAAAGAGTTTTGAAAAGAAACCTGACTTGCAAATAAAATTCACCGAGTTAGTTTCAGTCTGATCTGCGGGGCTAATGCCATGGTCTGAACTCATAACCTTCAGAGTTAAAACTCTGCATTGCTACTTGTTGGCCTAGCTTAGTAACTTCCTTACTGAATTACTCTAGTTTACTGATCGGCCACTGGCGGGTGACAGACACTCTCTCTCCGAGCGTGGGTTGCAGTCAGACAGCCACCAGTTGTGAAATGCCCATGATCCCAGAGGCTTATTAGTCGGAACATGTGAAGCCAAACAGGGAAGGAGCATCCACACCCAGCCTCCTCTCTGCTCGGGTGGTGGCCATGGGGCGGCCCCCAGGTAAGGGCGTGGCCAAATCACTGGGTTGCCCTAAGCCAGCGATCACAGGGGCTCAGGCCACAGCTCTCAGCTGTGCCTGGTTTGCCTCCCAGATCAGCTGATTCGAGGCTACAGCAAGACCTGCCGGGAAGGAGGGAGCTGGAGAGAAAAGCTTGCTGCCAGTTAGAGTCCTGGGGGTGAGGATGGTGATGTGGTGGGGCCTGAGCTAAGGTGAGGATAGGGTGACCAGATGTCCCGATTTTATAGGGACAGTCCTGATTTTTGGAGCTTTTTCTTACATAGGCACCTATTACCCTCCCCAACCCCGTCCCGATTTTTCACACTTGCTGTCTAGTCACCCTAGGTGGGGAGCATTCCCTGCAGACAGGTGCTTGGCTCAAGAGGCCAGAGGAAGGCCTCGTTGGAAGCAGGCCTTGGAGGACGTGGCCCTGGGCAGTGGGAAAGGTGATCCATGTATTAGTGTGCCAAGGCTGCAGCTTACAGTACGTAACAGAAGGCCCCAGTATGATGCTACCTAGAGCAGTGATGTGGAAACCCTGCAGCTGAGGGGAAGGATTGAATGGGAAGTCATAGCCCAGTGAAGTCTTAAACCCTGGTTGAAGCGGGGAGGAAGCCCCCTGCAACCAAGAGGGATGGATTTAATCACTGCACAGACCCTAGCAGAGAGCTGTGCCCAAGGAGGGTGAAAGGATTTTGCACTTTCATTGCTCTGGAAGGAGAGGATTTTTGGTCTGGCCAGATCACACTACCAGCCTGGGGAAGACTGTCTTTCGTAGGGAAACTGAGGCACAAATGCATGCCTAATGGTGAAGTAGTAAAATGCACCTTCACACTGGCCTGGAGCCATGGCGGGTATGAGTAGCTGAAGTGAATGGTTTGCAGCCCACTTGTGTGCTCAAAATAATTTGTTAAAACAATTCAGTGGAGATTTCTGAACTCAACTGCAGGTTCGAGAGTTGTTTTGTGGGCGATTCGCTCCATATGTTCTCTCTGGATTTTCCTGGGAGGGCGGGGGGGGGGGTTAGGTGTGGGAGGAAGGAAAGCAAGGGCAGAGGCTGTGACACTTAGAAGCCTGACAAACGTTTATCTGATATAATAGATCCGAGGGCTTTGTATTTTTTTAAGCTGTGTAATACGCGTAGGGCCAAGGACCAGATCCCTGTAAAATCAGAGGAACTCTAGCTAACTCTTAAACACGGTCTCATTCGGTCCTGCAGCCCAGGGAAACAGTACCTCTGAGTACTAAAGATCTGAAGGGAATAATGGTATTCCCCACTGAGCGGCTCGTGGTACTAGACAGTACAGTTGTCTTCACCCCGTGACTGTGGAAGGTCCTAGCTCTAGTGAGGGATGTATTAGCAAGAGTGCTACATGCAGGGCGTCTGATTCTCCTCTGCGTGACATTACAGACTGTTACCACACCACTGAAGTTAGTCCAAACTGCCACCAGTCTAACAGCGGAGTAAGGCCCACTCCTTTGTTTTAAAGATGGGTGCACAGCAACACAGCTGGGCGAGGCTGCTTCCCACCGCAGCCCCTCTCAGGGTCCATTAATGGACTATGATCACTAATTTAGTCAGAACCGCATGGAGAATGTCCAGAAACAAAAGACTTCCAGATACACACATGTGAGCTCCTGAGCATCCCTAGAAACAGCCTGTCAGCTGATTGCAGTGAACGTTGTGAGTCAGAACTCACAATCCCTTGGTTATCTAATTTCTCCTTTTAGAAAGAATGTGGGGAGAGCAAGGACTCAAAAATCTGTCTTCTTGTTCACTATAAAACCCCTGACCCAGGGAACCAGCACACCACCCACAGTTAAGGCCGGTTTAAAAAATACTGTCTTATCCACACACTCCAAAAGAAACACACACAAAAAATGTTTTTGTTCAAAACTTGTCACTGAACGTTTCATTTATTTTTTTGACAAAATGAAAAATGTTGGCTTTTGACAACCAAACTTTTTAGAAACTGAGTTTTTTCCAGCAATTTTTCATTGGGGGGAGAAACCAAAATCGTCCACTTTAATGACTGTAAAGCCATTTTTGATAAATGTGACTGGCCCATGGGGTGAGTCAATGGTCTCCAGCTGTGTTAGCAGACTATTATCTGAACACAGTTCTCACACGCCTCCTTTCTCTCTTGTTCACATAATCTGGCGGAACAGAACCGGGTGCTAGAGGAACATTTGTGCTATTCCATCCCACCCCAAAGAAAGAAAACAAATTGATGTAGCTCCTGTAGCATCTGGAGCCCAGACGGACACCAGGGGCTTTGGACAGATCCTTTGGAAAGGAAATCCAGCTTATTCTGCAACGTGGCGGTTTTTAAAATACCTCCTCACGCACACAGCCAAGACTGTGTTCCTAGTAGCTGAGGGCCATTCAGCACGAGCGCACTCTGAAATCATGTTCCCTAGCTTCAGAAAGACTCCTGAAATATTAGAAGGCTTGGGCACCATTGATAGGAAAGTAGCCTGCAACAGTTGGAGGCAAACTTGAGGTCAGAGAGAAGGCAGCAGCCGTATTTGCACAGTTTAGAAACAGCTGTTTCTACCTCTAACTGTAGAAAGCAATTAAAGACTGAGAAACCCACCAAACCACAGGAAGGGCAGAGAGTTGAGTCTTAAGAGACAGATCCTGACACCCTTACTTGCACTGAATAGCACCTTATTCCACTAGTATTCCCAAGGAGGAAGCATTGCCTGGTGGATAGAGCATAGGACAAGGGCTGAGAAGAACTGGGGTCAGCTCCTAGTTCAGACATAGATTTCTGGTGTTATCTTGGACAAAGTTGCTTAATTTGCCTGTGCCACTGTTCTATACAGATAAGTTGACAATAAATCCACTAAGGACAGTGAAACACTCAAACACTCTGGTGATAAGGGCCATACAAACATTCCTATTTAATCTGAGCAAAACAAACAGAATTTTGTCCAGAATGAACCCTCAAAGCATAATTGCTTTGAATTTCAATGCGGGCCTTCAGCTTCAAATTCCTGGATCCAAACCCGCCTTTACTTGTTTCGGTTCCAGGCTGTGTGGCCCTATTTCTGATTCTGACACAGCCACAATTTCACATGAAATTTCACAGCCCTGCCAGGAGATTTTGGTGCAAGCCGGTGGAAACAAAGTGAAAACGAAACCTATCTCATGAGACCTGTCATTCAAAATGGAAGGAGCTTCAAGACCAGCCCATTGCTACCATCTGCAGAGGGCCCAAATTACCTGAGACCGTAGCTTTAAGACAGTCCCGGCCCAAAGGTGCTCTAATTAGCTCTCTTATTAAATCTATTGGAAATATATTTATGGGGCATTCCTCTATGCAATGAAATCGTGAGTGCGGAATTATTGTTTATAGAATTCTAGAGCTAACGCAGGGTTCCAGATTGACAGGCCTGGAAACCAATGGCCTTTAGTCACAGACTAGCCACAATAATGGCACTATTGGAATCATCAGAACAAGCTTCCCCGATTCTGTACAGCCAAAGCGCCCCAGTCCAACCTCCGAGGGACCAGCTCTAAGGGCCAACAGATAGCTCAGGGTTCTTTTCAACTTCCAATAAGGAAGTTAAGTATCTTATGCAGGCACCTGTCCGCTAGGAACTTGGCCTAACACCACCTATTTGATTCCCATAGGCCACCCATTTCTTAGGGCCTGTGGCTTCAACAAAACCAGCCTCTAAGTCTGATGCAGAAGTTCTCGCCCCTTCTAACCACACGCAATCTCCCTGCTAAAATCCGGCACTGGTCCTCCACCTGTCTGCTTCAGTTCAGAAACAATTGGGCAGATGTTTCCAACATTTGGAGGGAGACAACATGACTTTCTGTTGGTAAGTCTCTTGACTTGGATCCAAGACTTTTTCAACTCTCTTCCCACCCAGCCCCACTCTAAAACTGGCTATTCCAAACTATTCTGGCTGATGGAGGCTTTTGCCTCAGTAGCTGCTGATTGAGACCTCATCAAGTCATGCAGTAGCACGACCAGACGGATATTTGGAAACATTAAAGGGGCACAATTGATGTCAAAAAGCAGGAAATTTGACCTGCCTTGTTGCTTTTTCTACATCTTTTTGCAACATCCTTGGAATGTTTTGTATTTTGAATGTATTTTGTTTGTTTGTTTAGCACTTGATCCAATGCTATGTTGTCTAAAATTAGAGTCCCAGCACCCAGAAAAACATGAAAAAAAACAGTAAAAGCCAGTCAGTGGGCACTTCCCAGCCCTCAGGGGAAGTCCTACACTAAACCGATCAGCCATGTTAAGCCTGGCACTTGTTCACAACCTTCCAATAACAGACAAGCATGAGCACACAATAGGAGAGAGGAAAATCGGTAAGGTAGCAGGTTTCATATTCACACTTCCAATGGGGAAAGATGGTCTTATGATTAAGATACCGTCCTGGGACTCAGGAAGTCTGGCTTCAATTCAGTTCTAATTATATCCGGCAGAGGCCAGTGGTGTACACACACTCAATTTTCATTATAGTATAATAATAGTTTGCATTTCTATAGCACCTTTCGTCCAAGTGCTTCAAAGCACTTTAAAAACATTAATTAAACTTCAGAAAGTTGCTGTGTGGTAAGTGTTATCTTTATTTTGCTGCTGGAGGAAAGGTGGTGCAGCGAAGCTATGGTTGCACAGGGATACTCTCTGGCAGAGACTGGAGTAGACCCCAGGAGTCCTGAACCTCATCTAACCAATGGGCTAGACATCCTCCCCAAATGGGAACTATTTAAGGTGATTGTTACAATAGCAAATGGTTTTTAAGACTTTATCACAATTGAAACAGATTCGACACGTTATTGTTAAAACCATTCCCAGCTGAATTCCACATACACCCTCCTCTCTGTGAACCCCAGCTGTGAGTTACAGAGCGCTCTTGTAACTAAACCAGGTTGCATACCTACAAACGTCACAATCAGGGAGTGAACATTGCCTAGAGATCTTAACTAAGGCTATGGCCACATTGTGTTAGCTGCTGGGCAGCCACCAAGTGAGAAATGTCCAAGTTGACAAGACAAAGACAGAGTGGAAGGAGAAACAGAGGCACAAAGAAGTGGAGCTCTGCTGACCTCTCTTCAGAAACAAGCCCCAGCTACTTGTGCTAAAAGGAGCAACCAACTCCCTCGTCTATGGCTGAGCAGCAGTGGCTGGGTCCAGCCAGCACAGGAAGACATGATCATATACACTAAGCCAGCATATCAACCAATGATTTTCTGACAGTCCGGAACAGACTGGCGGGGCCACGTTCCTAAACCAAAGACTCACCCCAGCCATCTCCCCCAAAGCCACTCTCTCAGCTTCCCCATCTTACCTTGTCAAGCTTTGCTTCTATCTCCACCACATCTGTTTCCACTTCATCTATGGTCGCCCTGTAATCAGAAGAGCAAAAAAGGGGAAATCAGCTGGTTGCCTAAACACGGATGATGGGCAGAGAAACCAAACAGTCCTTGAAAGGCAAAGGCCAGAAGAACTCCAAAAGGCAGAGGAGAGAGGCGAAAGTTTGCACCACCCAGTCAGGGGTTTCCTGCGCAGAGGCTGCCGTATAAGCTGAGGATCCACATTTTGGGAGAATTCCATTCTGAGGATCCTAAATTATCTGGGATGGGTTTTGCTCCTGGACTGATGAAAAAATCTTGGAGGGGGGGGGGAAATTCATGGCAACCCCCATCAGTGTCACAGGCAAGTCACTGGGCTGTATTGTGCTAGGGAAATGTACAGCAAAGCCACCACCTGTGGGGTCTTAGTCTGATCTCGTTTACGCCCATGTAAATCGGGAGTAACTCTTAAATTACACCAGCATGAATGACATGCCTGGGGTAAACGGGCACACTGGCAACCAGCATTAACTGTGCCGGCTTAAAGCCCTTGTGAAGCTCAGGCTGTAACGATGCCTCAAGAACACCCACACTGTTGGCTGCATCTTCCAAACCCCAGCAAGCCTTTAGCCCATATGTGGGCATATCTTGGTCCTGTTACCATCTCAGTCTACTCACTCTCACACACCTCTGAGTGTTACCCTTAGTGCCTTGGCTGTGTCTGAAGGAGAGATCCATTGGGTCTGTTTTCTTTCCATTTCTTGGGTAGTGGTGACAGTAAGAGGCCAGTAGGATTCTGGCCTCACCCAACTATGGGAAAATTTCAATGACATCAGCCCAGCCCATTGGCAAAAGATATTTCCAGCTCAAGACCTTTGGGATAAATCCACTTTTCTCTTAGGCAAAACTCCAACTGCAAGAGCAGTAAGGCAGAAACCTTCCCATGGAGAGCAGCGTGCTGGGGTAGCCTGTCCCCAGCTGGGCAGCCATTCCCTTCAACAAGCACCTGGAAGTGTGGTAAACCTCACTGCAATTTTGTTTCCCAACACATGCAATCCACAGTCCATTGCATGAACCCTCTCCCGCTTGTGGGTTTGCTGTGTACAGCATGAAGTGTTAACGCTCTGCCTTTTAAAAATTCCAGCCATGGGCATGTGCCAGGTAAAAGGTCTGTGGAGGAAGGATGTGCCGGCGAAGCACCAATTCATGTGGCTTTATTACAGCCAAGGACGGGACGCACACAATCCAAAAGGAACCAGGAGAAAATCCCCAGGGCCTCGGTAGATCAGGCAACAAAATCTATTCTCTAAAGGCTCTTGTTGTTTTAAATGGATGAACAGCCGCCCAGGGACACATTGCTAACAACAGGAAGGATAAATAAAAAATGATTGATAGGGCAAAGTCATAAAATTTGGATCCAGATTCGCACTTCCACCGAGTTTGGGAAGGGAGTTTCACTCTGATCATAAAGTCATAGAAACATCGGGCTGGAAGGTACCTTGAGAGGTCATGTGATGTTGTGATCCAGCCCATCTCTCTCAGAGGAATTACAACTAGCAGAGCAAACTCAGTATTTCTCCACATTCACCACTCTTCCATGGGAAATAAATGAACAATACCTTCTACAGGTGAACACAGTCCCCATCTGACACTGCTACCAGGCGGCCGACATCCTGCCAGGTAATCCAAATGGAACAGAGATCGGAGACTCCCTCCCCACAAAGGAAGTAAATCAAATAGAAGGCCAGGCGCAGATCTCGAGCATGTCAATTCTGTCCTGAACTTTTAAGGCGATCGCCAATCCAGTACACACAGGCTTCAGGAGAGAGCACCTCTCCCAACAGCTACCAGAAATCTCCCTTGGAATGCTGTGAGGCACCAGATGATTCAGACAACTTACAGGGTAGACCTAATATTCAGTGACAACATCGGCCATGTGATACAGCATGTGACTGTGTGAACTCTCCTCCCTGCACGCTATGCCTGTCCCTATCACAGTCCTGTCACATTACATAACTGGGCCCAATTCTGACAGATGCTGAGCGCCCTCCAATTCTACTGAAATCCCTGGAAGGTGTGCGTATGCATGGGTCCTGTTATCCCTATTTTAGAGATAGGGGGCTGAGACACTGAGGGTACATCTACATGGCAAAGAAAACCCCCCCCAGCAGCGAGTCTCAGAGCCTGGGTCGATTGACTTGGGCTCACCATGTGGGGCTAAAAACCCTGAGCAGGTTTTGACCCACGCGGGAGCGGCTACACTGCTAGTTTTAGCCACGCAGCCTGAGTCGGTTGACACAGGCTCGAAGACTCAGCGCCATGTTTCTTCCTTTGCAGTGTAAATGTAGCCTTAGTGACTTGCCCAAAGTCACCAGGAGGTCTGTGGCGGAGCAAGGAACCGAACGCAGCTTTCTCAAGTTCCTGGGGAGCACCCTTACCCCTGGACCTTCCTTCCTCTCTGTTAACCTTAAGAGGAGACTGCATGAGCCAATCGAGTTCTCTTGTGCTTGTCCCTTCCCCCGCCCCAGTTAGTTTCTATCCTTTATGACATCCCAACAAAGCAGCTTTTATTTATCTCCAAGTCTGGGCTAAGATTTTCAATGGGTGGGACTCCCATTTCCCATTGATTTTTTTAGATGGGGAATTCCCATTGATTTTTACTGGGGAACTGGGTGTCTAAATCCCTTAGGAAGCTTAAAAATCCCAACCCTATTTCTTAGCTATCCTGTAAGGTCATTGCAATCTAACCCCATCCTCCAAGCAGCAAGCAATTTAAAAAATAAATGTTACATAGAAAGTTGCTTTGAAGGAGGATTCACGCCCATTGTATGCCAACACAGTAAGATATTTGTGGCAAGGACTGTCTTTTTTTTAATGACATGTACAGCTCTTAACACAGTGGGCCCTGATCCACAACTGGGGCCTCTGGGAGCTACTGACATATACATAAATACATAGATAATCACGATGATGTTATTGCTCAATACTGGGAGGGGCGGGGGCGGTCCCATCTGCCATTCCTGGGCTTTCAGGGTATGTGGCTGTTTTGTTGAGTTTCATAAGGGTCATGGGAAGTGGTGGGGCTGTTTCCTGGCGGGGGGGGGAAGAAGGGGGGGAAAACTAGTTTATTTACTGTAATCTCCTCATAATCAATGTACCAGCGCTTTTAGAAGGGTTTGTGAAAGGTTTTTAATTGCCTTAGGGTGTCCAGCGCATGGGGAGTTCACACAGTCATGGGACATACCACCACATGACCTGTTGTGACTGAATATTAAGTGCATGTTGTCAGACGTATGAATCACCTGGTTCCTCACGTGCTGACGGAGGCTTAGTCTAGGCTCACTCTGGACCTCGCTGACTGTAGGGATTTTTCTGCACAAGACCTCCTGTCTTACCCCCCTTTCCTCTCTTTCTTTCCCCCATTTTTTGCCTCCTGAGGGGGAGCTAATGAGACCCACCTGACTTGGGTGCCACATGAGTCAGCAGAATTGCTCTGCATCTCCCGGCCGCGTCCCAGCATCCAAGATCCCATCATCGCCTCACAAAGGGCTGAACTGACACCCTGGATCTGAACAGCCTGAGAGTTTGGGGCGCTGACGCCCTGGCTCTGAATGCTGAGGCTTGTGTCCCGCTCCAGCTTCCGCTGCACAAATCTACAAGCAGGAAAATATCTCTGCCTCATCTCATCTCTCCAGCAACCTAGGTCCCCATCGGCATTCTGGGAATGCCTGCCTTTCTTTTCAAGGGGTTTTGGTGCTGACAGAAAGCTCTGGAGTGACAGACTCAGATCAGAGGCGTCTATTCTTCACTAGAAGAGGAGCAGCAGGGGCCGCATCAGTGCATGCTTCCCACGCCTCCCCCCTCTCCCGCCAGTCCGCCTTAGACCTGTTCTGGAAAGAGCCCAACAAGGCCTGGGAGTTCATTCTCCAGGCACAAGGAGCACTCAGTTTGCCAGCAGGAATGGTACTGAGTGCTAGCCGTGGAAGGGCATTTGTACATGAGGTTATTGTTTGTATAATGGTAGCACTTAGAGACCCCAGATGAATGGGGGGCCCCATGTGATAAGCATTGTACCGACACTTGGTAAGAGGCAATCCCTGCCTTGAAGAGTTTACAGTCTAGGCAAGGAAAAAGAGAGGGAGGGGAAAGAGGGGCACAGAGAGTGGAAGTGACTTGACCAAGGTCACACTGTAGGCCAGTGGCAATAAAATCCAGCTTTCCCGACTCCTGAGCAAGTGCCCTACTCACTGAGCAATACTACCTCCCGATGGAGTTTCTCAGAATGGGGCTGAGACCATCATCATGGTCACATAGGCCACTAAAGGGCTAGCATGTGGTAATGACTTTTTGAGTCTCCTCTGACCGGGGTTGGATTTGAACTAGCATCTCAGAGGGTCCTGCTATGCTCCGTGTTAAGCTTGCTCAATACCCAGTGAGAATTCCCCTTCCCCTTCTGCTCTGAGGGGTGTCCAAATCTCACAAGGTGTCCTTCACAACATTTCTAAGATGCAACCTTCACTCTCTGTTCTCACCTCTCATCTCCTCCCTTCATTCGTATGGGAACACTCTCCTCTCCGGGCCCCCACACCCACATTGCTCCCGCTCCAGTCGCTACAAAATACAGCAGCCAAGATCATTTGCCTTGTCCGTCCTTCTGTTCACATCATCCCTTTCTTTGAATCCCTCCAGTCACTTCCCCGCTGCTATTGCATCTAACTTCTCAGGCCTTGGATCGGTCGGACCCTCCCTGCCTAGACACCTTCTCCCCCCAGCACTTGGACCACATTCCAATGCAGAGAGCAAGCTGGAAAACGTTGGATTACATGACTTGAGAATTTATGGTGGAGCCAGGAAAAGAACCCAGGAGTCCTGGGGCCCACTTTTCAATTGGTGTAAATCAGCATAGCACTACTGTCTTTAAAAAAACCTCAGGGTGGAATCAATGAAGCAGCTCACACACCTAACGTCTATTTAGGCTCCAAACGTCCACTGAAATCAACAGAGCTAAGGAATTCTCTGGTTGTGCAGATTAATGCAGTTTTACCAGCTTCAGC